CTGCAATGGGAAAATAAAACGAACAGCTATTTCTAAGAATTCTTGCTTAGTAACACGCGTATCCACTTTGAATTATCTGCATATGTTGCCGGAGTCCGGTAGTTTTATTTTAAATGCTATCAACTGATTTTTTCAACATTTATATTTGTTGTTTGTTCGTACCTTTGACCTCACGGTGTAGACCTTCAAAAGTACCTGGGTTGGGTAAATTAAGCTTCTCTCTGTATTCCGATATTCCATTAAGAAGTGAACTTAAACTCCATGACGTGGAAGGAGTTGACTTTGATAAAACTTTTTCACCCAAACCGGCCATCACTTTGTACTTTGAAAAATGGTCACGCGTCGTCTTTCAAAGGTCAGAGACCAAGATAAAATATCGATGGATAAAATTTTCAAAAAATTTTATCATTGTGTTACCAGATCCGTATGTACAGCATGTATATCTACTAATACTGCATATAAACAGAAACTGGTTTCTTACATTTGAAATATTTTGCATACGCGTTTCATTACGAAGATAGATTTTGAATCTTTAAATTAATCAATTTATAATTTATGTATAAAAATACACCATACAATAAAAAACTCCAATCTAGTGGAATTAAATAAAGTTTTTATATTTAATAGAAATCATACACGCCTAATTTTTTAGTTTTTAAATTGTTAATGTCTTAAATTAAATATCAGATTAAAGTGAAAGATGCTAAAAATACGGGATATAAAAGAGTTACGAATTACGTCAGAAACAAATGTACAATGAAATGTAACAAAAGGTGAGGATGAAAATGATATTTAAGTAAACTCTATCAAAACAAATATAGTACAACATCTATGTCCTATATTACTACCCATTATAAGGTGTAGGATCTATAAAATGATCATAATTCCTCGGACTCCTTGGGCTTTCATAATTCCTCGGACTCCTTGGGCTATCAAAATTCCTCGGACTCCTTGGGGTTTCAAAATTCCTTGGACTCCTTGGGCTTTCGTAATTTCTTGAGCTTGATGAACCGGAATACATTTGCTGTACTGGTGCAGATCGCGGCATGTGATTGTACGCATTTGGTGGTGAATTTATTTGATTTGTTTGACCATATTGATAACCTGGTGAACGTGAACCATTATTTGGATATACTGTTTGATCACGCGGATTAAGGTAACGTCCGTTATTGGGCGAAGGGCCATTATATGGTGTTGGATCAACCCATCCTACGCTATTATTATTATTATTATTATTATAACGATTGTTTCCTACAGCCAATGCATCATCTGGAGGCATTGAATGGACACGTGTTCTGAATCTATTATCTCGTCCTTTAGACCTACGATAAATACATTGGGCGCAACTAAAATGATTTGGATAAAAGTTAATATGTGCTGTTTACAATTTGAATATATACGATAAAATTAATCAACCTACCATAATAGTATAAGTATCGCTAAAATTATAGCAATAGGAATTACTATACGTTTGTTTTGATCTAACCAATTTGAGATGGTATTGCCTATAAAATATATGTATGTATAGATATTCATTATAGTCGATAAAAAATATTATTGTATAATTAGATCAAATACATATATATATACCAATTGAGCCGGTTACACATGTTCCTTTAGAACACCTTCCACCAAATCCACAAGGAGTACCGTCGACAAAATATCCGCTCATTTCAAGGCATGAGGTTGTATCATTCGGATTAGCACAACTAATAGTACATGACGTAGATGGCATTGAACATGCTTTCGTAATTCCCATACGAGAACCGCGTGTAGCACATTGCAAGTCCTTTGATGTACATATGCCACCAGCACATTGAAGACCGTTTTCACATGATGTACCATCTGCAATATGCGCATCTGGCGGACAATCCCCAGAATTTCCAGGACAAACTTCCGGAATATCACAAGAGGAAACCGAAGGTCTGCAAGTCTCATTAGCCGGTTTATAAGTACAATTTCTGCAACATAGATCATTCGTATCACTATGAAAAGAAATAGTATTAATATGCGGTATAGAATAAAATATGTATAGGTTTGCCGGACCAAAGAAACGAACTACTTACTCGCATTGCGAGCCTTTTTTTAATTTACAAGTTGTTCCATCACAACAAGGATCTGTTGCGCAATCAGTGCCACCTACATGTTTGGAATTAAAATAAATTAACTAATGTAATAAAAAGAGTAATCTAATAAAAAAATTTGTTTACTCACAGTCACACTCTTCTCCTGCTTCTTTCAGTCCATTTCCACACATAGCAGCAGTAAGAATGGTTTTTGAAGCCGTAGCTGGATCTAAAAATTTCATAGATTTTAGTTTTTTGATAAAGCATTTGAAAGATACCAATACATGAATCACGCAAGATGTAGCAACCTTGGAGACAAGTGCCGATATTTGGAAATGTGCTACAGATGTCAGTGATTGAACATGGACTATAAAATAATAAGTGGATTAATTTTCTATCAACACTAGAAAAGGTTCGTTAGTATTATCATATCATACCTGAAATCATTTGTGAGCACGTTACTTGTTGGATTCATAATGTACTGTCCACCAGCATCACATGTTGTTTGACTCAATGGACAACAAGCGCAGGGATCGTTGACACTGTTGCATGGGCATGTAGTTGAAGTGCAATCATGATATGCACCTAGATAATTATAAATGTCTAAGCAAATTGTTGATACTCTTGTAAATTATGTTATGAAATTTAGTTACCGAAACCATGTCCAATTTCATGTGCAACTACTTTCCATTCGTCTTTAACAATTGTAGATACACCAGCTCCTGAAACAAAGGCCTGGCCAGTACCTAAAAGTGACAACCCGCAAATGATTTTAATGAGTTATATATATAAAATAAATAACAAAGTTGTTACTCACCATTGCTTTGTGAACTTGCAGAAGTTTGACATAATTGCCCTAGCCAAGCAATACCAACTTTTGTTCCAGTACTTTTTTAAAGAAAAGATCAAAAGATGATAAATATTTAATATCTATATAAAGGCTATAAAGTATATGATACGAATCACACCCTATATAAATCAGGTACACTCACTTGCACTTTGACATTAGATGCCATAATGCTGCGCCATCATCCCCTATAAAACAAGGAAATGCCACAAAAAGTTAAATTTGCCGTTTTTATTTATTTTATTTATTCGTTTCTTTATTTACCTTTGGTACCTCTCCATTGACTAAAATCACTCAATCTATCGCTTATACTATACGAATCTGAACATGGTCTATTCCACGCTGGATTAGGAGTTGAAGGACAATTTGAATCTTGGATCTCGATATAGATTAAACCAAGGGTGACGTTAAAAGTTCTTTCATAAACAGCAGATGCAGATCCCCAATCACTAAGAATTTGTTTTCGGGCCGCATCTGATGATTGATAGCTTTGAACTATCAAGCATATTTAAGTAAGTTATTTGATAAATAAATAGAAAAAAAAAGAGATCTTGTTTGAACTTGGCAATTAACCACTAACCATAAGTGCAATCAGCGGCCGCACCCTAAATTCATGAAAGAATTGACGTTTAAAGATAAATTACAACAAAAACATAAAATAAAATAAATAAATAAATAAATACCATGTATGCTATTCTTCTTGCAGTAGGGCATCCAGATACATCTCTTTTTGACAATTTATGTTTAGGTACAGTATTACTCGTTCGAATATTAAAACCGAAATTGAACAACCAGTCCTCATGTTCTACTTTATTATTATCATTTATTCCAAATGTCCAAGGATCACTGTATCTTAAATGTTTGCTACTTGACCGATTCCAATTACTCATTTGTTCGTTCATTCCACATGACCATATTCGATCATCACCATTACTGGATGGTTTTATATCAGAATCACGATAAATGACCATGGTAGCATCACGATGATTAGGATGACGAGAGGACGGATTTGGTATTTCCGGATCATCACGAAATTGGGCTACCCGAAAATTGTCTATGGATTTTATATGGTGAAGGTCACCTTTATAAGAAAAAGAACCTTCAAATGTCAAATGTTTTTTATTTAAACTATATAAAAAAGTAAAAAGACATTAATTCAACAGTTCTACCCTATTTAACACGAAATAGTTAGGAATTATGCGTACCTTCCATCGTTTAGAACAATTATCCTCGCCCACCCAAGAACACCTGGTGAAGTAGAAAGTTCT